CCGATAATGAATATTATATGGTTGGCATGGTTACATTGGGATTTTTGCTATTTGACGATGAATTTGAACCCTGGTCGATTCCGATGGTTGACCATACCACCTTTGACGATTATTATTTGTTGCGGATTGCACCTTCAGAGCAATTCACCAGCCACCATTGGAGATTGCCAATATGTCGTACCATCAGCAGGGAACCCGCTTTGCCTGATTAGTTTGCAATTGCTTTTGACGGATATCTCTCTTTTTTGAGTTTCGATTTTGCGGATTTGGGCCACCAGATGTTCGTGAAACATCCGCCTCGGATCACCGATCCTAGTGTGCAGCCTCTGACGGGCATTTCACCGACTGCCGAATAATGACATGACATATTGATTTATATATTTTTTGCATATAAATGATTATATATGATGAATTGATTATATTTATTTAATTATTTATATATTGAATATTTATAATTATATTGATACATATTTCCTGTATTTCTATTCGATATCTTTATGAATATATTTGTGTAAGTTTGCAATATTTCGATTCTATTTTTGATGATTGATTAATCTATTTTTGGTAATATATTTTAAAAATTTATCTTAATAAATATATTTTTGTTGTTGTTGTTGTTATATTGGTTGGTCGCGCCCCTGAACTCTGTGATCGGGTCTTATCTTTCTCTTCTTTTATTGTTGTCAATTGATCGTATTGATTAATCTTGATTATATTAATTGACCGTGCCCTGAACCCTGTGTGACCTGAACCCTGTGATCGTATTTTATCTTCCTTTTATCTTCTCTTATCCTATTATTCTTTTATCTTTCTTGTGGTCGAATAAATAACGATATCGATGCCGATAAATCATTGATGAAATAAATCATCTTTGGGGGGGAAGGTAAGATATATTAAGAAATTATTTTTGATTAATAATTATTCAAAAGAATATTTTTAGACATTCAATATAGGAATAAGAAATCTTAGTGATTAAAAGGGAGCCTTGAAATCAACTAATTTATAAGATATCATCCAGATAAATATATAATCTATATATCTTTTCTTTAGGCCATTGATATGCAGAAGGAGATATCTGATAAAATTGCATTGGATGATTATATCGGCACATGAATATTAATTCTTGATTTCGTGGATATGAACAAGGAGGACCTAATTTGTGTCTTCATTTTATGAAACATAAATAATTGTATTTCGTCTATATCAATATCAGAATCTAATGTTATTAACCAATCACATTTCAAACAACAATAAAATTATTGCATTATACCGAAGCAAGCAAGAAAAATTTGCAGAAAATATACAAAATTTTTTACAATTTCTTTAAAGGACATAAATAGGGCGACAAATCCAAAATAATTTATTAAATTTATTGCAAATTATCGATAATAAATCCATTGAGGACGATACCATACATAGATCACATCTAGAAACGATTGCAACAATATATATTGCTTCAAACCTCTAATTAAAATAAATATTCCATCCTTATATATATATATTCATTTAAATATATCAAAAAAATACATTATAAAGAATATAGATTTAAGAATGCATCGCATTATCCATTTCATCATTCCTCTTCTTAAAAAAATATCGATATATTTCCCCAAACAATTAAAAAAATAAAAAAATATAGATTATAACCGCATAAAATCTAAAATTAAAACATAAAATTTAAATTAATGTTGTACGATATTACAAATACATAAAATATTTTTATTTTTAATTTAAATATATATTTCCGCCATTCATTCGTACGAATTATTAGCCAAAAATCTTATTCCATTTAATTGCATAAATTATAATATATATATTTACATATTCCTTTATATATCAATATTTATATAATTATATATTTATTCTTAAAAATCTATATATATTTACGAATTATAATATATTTTATATTAAAATAATCATTAGTAAATCCAAATATTTCAATATCATTTATATAAAAAAAAAATCGAAATAAAAAATATATTTCTTTAATATATAATATATTCCAAATAATTATAAATAAATTCCTAATTATAAACATCATTTTCCCAGAAGTAACAATTAAAAAAAATATATTTCCAAAAAATTCAAATAATAATTCGATTAATTAATACTATATTATATTTACAATATTTCGACTAAATTAGATTTATTTTATAATATATTCGTCCTTTATAAAGGATTCCGTGTATGAATCAAGAATAATTATGAAAATAAATTGGGTGTTAGGATCGTTTATGGGTCCGGAGCCTTATTTTTTGAATTGTACCCAAATGTATTTGTGTATTGTATTTATATATTAATTGCATGGATTTTCTTTCGGTCATTTTGGTCGAATGCATTTTTTACAATGATGAATTTGGAGGGTGTCGTTGTTGGTAATATATTTAATAAATGGAATTCGATTAATTATGATCAACCCTCCAAAATTGGTTGCTTCAGTATATGTACAAGGAGCTGTCCAAAAACAATTGCAGCGCAAATGCTTCACCAGCCGCTTCACCAGCCACTTCCGGCACGTGCTTTGTTCCTTGTCTTCCGTTTGCCCCTACAAACTATCCATCACACATTTTGGACTTGGCTCCCTCAAGACTGCTTTGACAGTGGCAGTCTCTTCCAGGGGATCATCCCTTTGTTCTCTCATCATCAATTTCCTCCGCCCGATCCTCTTCCTCGTCTTCCTCCTCTTCCTCCTCTTCCTCCTCTTCCTCCTCTTCCTCTTCTTCCTCCTCTTCTTCTTCATCTTCCTCCTCTGCATTGGAGCTCTCCCAGCTTGCCTCACAACCCTCCAAAAACACAGAATCAACAATATCCTGTTTGGGGGTGATGAGGAATGGCTCCTAGTTTCTGCACGCCAGTTCAGTTCCTCGAGTCTAGCGAAGGAAAGGGGTGGTCTCACAGAGTCTCGCATCCTTGAATGATAGTGGCAAGTTTGCAGTGCGCACAACTACAATGACGCGTTTCTTGGGCAGCTCGGCTTGGGTCTTTTGATCTCCACGAAATTTCTAGGGCGAGCGGATATCGGAAGCGCCTCCTGTTGATCCATTTGCTGTAGCAACTGCCTCGCCATCTCCTGACAAACGGGCACACGTGCCAAGAAATCAACATCAATCCTCAAAACGGGTTGTACCTGGCAACCTTGACCTTCCAAGCAGTGAATCCAGCAAATCACTTCATTCCCTAGACTCACCGGCCGAAGCTGCACCGGGCGAACAAATTGAGGCAGCCATGTCAAACTACATCCTACTCTCCTTCCCACTCTCTACTTGCTGCTCCCTTCCAGTCCTCTACTCCTCACACCACAGTCACTGGAGAAGCCAAGTCACTCGAATTGATCCGGCAACAAGCGAACAAACTGGTAGTGTAGCGAACAAGCTCTGTGCAACTGTTCGCTCCCCTCCAACACAGTTTCTCAGAGATGTCCATCCGCACGGTCGCTTGCCTGGATGGCCTTCTGCTCTGCAGGTTGCACCACCTTCTCTGGTGCAGGCTGCTTCTCCCGTGCCCTCAGCACTCCCGAGGACATCCTCGGCGTCACAGGGTCACTCGAGTTTCGTTGCAGTTCGTTTGACCAACGGCTAAGTCTGATTGGATCGGGGTTTGCAATGTCCATTTTGAAGGTCCCGTCCACTCGGTCATCTAAGTTGAAGTAGGCTGATCCCGTGCATTTGATTTCTTGCGGCCAGTGGAACAAACAATGAATTATACATATTTATATTATATGCATATAAATGTAGTAAACGATAAACATATATGGTTATATATATATATATTATATGCCAGCATAGACCCCAAACAGTTGTCGCATCATTTCTTGGCCTCAACTCCTTGAATTCCAATGTTGGTGGTAATGTCTGAGGTTCAACTGCATTTGGACCCTTCAACTCCACCCCAAACACCTTCTCAGAGAATACTTGGAGCCCTAGTGTGGCCATCGACTGAGTGTTCATGATCGACTTAGCATATTTTCTTTGTGTTTGATAGAAAACAATAGTTCCTGATTCCCGAAGTCATATGTGCAAACACAAAGGGATATGTGTCATGAGAAATCCAAGGATGATATCAAATGCTGCATCATTATGGTTGCATTCATAGCCACACGAAAACATACCTGGACAAAGCGGTCGAGAAAAGGAAAGCGGCATGGCCAAGCAGGGGATAAGGCCAGGACAAGGCGGTGATCAAAGGGCCGACAGCGCAAACAAGCAGGACAGACCCGGCCCGGACAAGCATTTGGACAAGGCCAAGCCTGGACAAAGCGGCGCGGTCAACGCAGGGCCTACGTCGTGGCCAAGCCGGACACACAGACTCAAAAGAAGAGGACAACAAGAGGACAACACCCGGCCACAGGGTTAGTGGCAAGAAATGTTCCTGGTTCCCGTTGTGGCACTTTCCTACTAAACTGCCAACCCACAGATCAGGCAAGTCACATGTTCTCTTCGCCTGCGGCAAACCAAACAAGGTGAGGTAACAAGACTGTGCATTCCAAACATGGGAGGAATCAGAACAATTACAATCAGCGGGAAAATTCAGGAAATGTCCTAAGTGCAGCAAACAAAGTGAAATACCATCGGGGCAAAAGAGAGGAGAGAGGAGATAGAGAGGCTGTTTCTCTCAAAAGTTGAACCTTGCCCATGTCTTGTCCTGCAGGCCATTAGCCGAAAGTGCACACGACCCAGCTTGGTGTTCTCTATCCACAAATAAAACAAACAGGATACAACATTCGGGACATAGAAACAGAATGCGCGTGGAGAAGGGTCAAACTATTTCTTTCAATATCCATGCAGAAACATCCAACTGACTGAAAACAGTGCAACTGTGCCGGAGGGTCCTGCTGCTGTGGCCTTCTTTGGAGTTTTAGTCTCCTCCTGACGGAGGCTCGCCAGCTCTCCACAAACCAATCATATGAGTGGGCATATTGACGATGACCTTCCAAGTTGGCGATAGCTAGTGATGCATAGTGGGCACTTGAACCTCCGAACTCCTGTATCCGGCGCTTGCCTCAAGAAATGCTACTTGTTTGAGGGTGCAAACCACACCAAACCAAAGGCTTTCGCTCAATGAAGGCCAACAATCACGTCGAAATGAGTGTGTGTTCGAGCAGGTAGAAGCTACTATATAGTAGTTTTCAGTGAACAAGAGGTTTCCCCAGTTCAATACCCTATAACACATGTTCTTCGAGTGGATCCTCAACACTCCTACAGTTGCGCGCACACGCACACGTATGTATGTATGTATGTATGTATGTATGTATGTATGTATGTATGTA